GCTCCCGTGTATTTTTTTCGCTGCATACAGCAACATGTAAACCCGGCCTCCGTGATTTTGTCAGCATTAGGAATAATTTGTGACCTCGTCGATTTCGCCAAAGCATAATCTTGACTTTTGTTTGGGAAACACCTTTACGATAATTAGACACAATTTCTGGCTTCTGAGACATTATTAGAATCAGTGCATCAAAATTATGAAAATTTTAACAAAATCATGCTATGAAAAAGTAGCTCTGGCCAAGCTCAAAATAGCTCCCGTAAACAAAATTACGAGAGCTCTTTTTTTCATACAAAATCAAAAAAGAGCTCTCGTAATAAAAAAAGTATTTTTTAGGCTGGTTAGTGGAGTAGGCGAGGTACGGTCCGGCATATTAGATAGTACCAGGGTACGTTCCGGTATACCGGACCGTACCCAGGGTACATTCCGGCAGTGTACCCCGGGGGACATAGACCCTCTCAGCACTAGTAACCATCCACCCACGATAGCCAGCTTAAATAATGCAACCACAAAACATCGCATCAGCTTTAGTGCCTGAGCTGCGAGCGCTCCGATTGGTCGGTCGACGGTGCGTCACTTTGAGAACAGCTGCAAGCGCTCCGATTGGTCGGTCGACGACGCGTCACTTTAGGAGGTATGCAGGCCCTAGCTGCGAGTCCCAAGCCATGGCATGGCCATGCATGGGGCATGAATAATCTAAATTCTAACTCTAGTACTAGTAGTAGTACTACTACTACTAGTAGTAGTACTACTAGTACTATAACAAAGTTAAGGCCCTATTCTGAATAGTGAATACAGAATGTTGAAGGCAAAGTGTTTAGGCTAAAGTAGGATTGCTTTATACATAAATAGATTATCCCAAACACTTACCACTGAGTCTAATTTTATAATATAAGGCCACAAGAATTGTATAGGAATGCTGGATGCATATGTGTATTAACGCAGAGAAACGGCGAGAACTTCCATGGGCGCAGACATCTTGGGATATCCACTCTCAACCTAAAGATTTTTGAATGGCTGTAATAATACGCGTACATGTGTGGGCGTAAAACAAGAGAGCGTTGCTGTGTACCAAACATGGAGATTGAGAAGTCTGTGTTTGAGAACTCTATGCCAGAAGAAGATCAAAATGGCAACGATAGTCCGTTAAATGAGGGCGAAGCAAAGCGTTTGTGGGGACCACGGCACGCGGGAGCCAGGGAACTTAAAGAAAAATATACGAAAGGTAGGTCATCGTACGAAAAAAGGATATGTATTTCCAAACTGAAATCTGTGTTCGATCACCGTGAACTCGCGAAAGAACACACCCAATCCATCATTGCATGTCTGTTTACAACAACAATACGATATAATAATACAGGTTAGTTATGTAAGAAAACGAAGTTGGGGTGTTTTCCTACTTGTACGGTAATTTTTTTTACATCAATCGATATAAGTAGGTCTATATTCGTACATGTAAATTGTAATAACTAATATCATAAATACCTATTAGTACTATTACTAGTATTAGTATTAGTACTATTACCAGGGGCAGGGGTAGAAATTAACTTTTGAACACGGGAGTCCAACCGGCCTACCCTCAAAAAGAGGGAGTCCGCAGCAAAATGAGGGAGTCCGCAGTCTGAGGTTCAAAATGAAAGATATTAACAATAACGCATGTGCTTATTAATTAGCTCACCTTGACATCGTCAAGCTGAGCTATTGCCATGGGTCGTCGTCCGTCCCTCCGTCAGTCCGTCAACATTTGGCTACGGTCTATGATAACTCAGGAACCGTTTGACCCACATGTTTGAAATTGGGTATAGTTGTTACTGCTATGCTCCCATATTAAACGTCCTATTTTGGAGCATGCCAGTCGACGTGCTTTCGAGCCACGGCAATTTTTTTGGCAAAAATGGGAATTGCCATTAGTCAGTTCAGGTTCAAAGGATTTTGCTCATTTTTGGTATGTGAATGAATAAGGGCTAGGGGGTTTTGATATTTAAAAAAAATTATTTAAATTAGGTAGGGTTTGGCAATTATATAGCATATTATATAGACATGCAGATAACAAACAGTCTGTGGTGTCACACTCGTCTGGTTCGTTTTACAAGATTTCATTGACAATGTCTTTAATGAAAAATTCTTGCTATGAGCATATTATGATTTATACTATTATTATTATATTATTATTATTATGATATAATGATTTATGCTAAGAAACATCAAAGCGGTTATAGCCCATCTTTAACCCTTCACACAATTGTGATTCATTGTTGGTTTATAAATTATTTATAATTTATTAATAATATTATTTATTATTTGCACATAAAAATTACAATATAAATTATCAAGAATTATAATGGCGGAATTCTTCCATATATACCTCTTCGTTTCTTTATAATGTACATCGGTATGGTTGCTTAATTAAAGCGAGAGTTTACTCTTAGGTTCTAGGGTTATTTCAGCCCCTAATTTTAGGTTTTTATTAATTATGCTAACAAAAAAAGTTCATGGTTCAATCACATTAGAAATATTTCTTTTTAAATGTTTAAACTAACGACTACAGTTGATTACTAACGACGTGGCTGCACTCAAAGCCTCACGAATCTGATAAGTGGCGCAAAACCACTTTTCCACCCAAGAGCTACATACCGAGGTGGGGTTTCTTATTTAATTCATTTAAAAGCAAAAGGATTGTAATGATCTTTATGAAAACGACATAATAGTTTTAGTTTATAATATGGATAAAATTTGCCTAAAAATGATTCGTTTGCCCCTTACGATTATGAAATAAGGATTGTAGTATAATATAATTGCAACTTTGCTTGGCATTAGCCCTCGGTCTGTAACGTGCAAATAATTTGTCAAAATACGAACTTTTTCGGTAGTGGCATGCACAGGTTGTTCTGCGTAACGTGAGTCCATCATGGCGTCTCTGTTCAATTTATTCTGTGAAGCAGTGTATGTGTAACTAATGGTTTTTATAACGAATAGTTTAATTGGGATACCTTCTGGTAACAAATACAGTGGGTATTAGATGTCTATAGACGATTTGTTATACAGTAAGTACAGTTGTGTATGCCAGTAAAAATCCTAGAGGCTACGTGTCCCTTTAAATTACTGCGTTCTTCTCAATCACTATTTGCTGTCCTTTTTTTGTGGTGAGCTACAGTGTCATTGACACTTTCATTTTTAAGATGCATGCGGTTGCACGTCTGCCAAATTTTCTTTGCACATTAGCTGAAAAAATACGGTAATTCCATGAGGCCTAGTTAATCAACGAACTAGTTAGTATGGCAGAATTTTCAAGGAGTCACACGGACTTCTGCATATGTCAAATCAGGGAGTCCAACAGTAAATCAGGGAGTATTTGACTCCGGACTCCCGTTAATTTCGCACCCTGTATTACTATATCAGTATATCCAAGAGTAAGATAATAACCCAATGGGTTGTTTAAGCACCCTAGATAATCATGGTGATAGATACAGTTTAGGAAAACTCAAAGCGTGCATAGTCAATTCGCTCACTTCAATGCATTTACCAAGCAAACATTACCTATTACCTATGCAGCCTAGTTGCATGCCAACAAATGGGTTATTATCTTTCTCTTGCTATATCTTGATCGTCGTAATGAAATCATTCAATTTAGGAACTCGGTATTTTGATATTATTGGATAAGGCTGATGACTGATATGACGATAATGATTGATATTGTTTGATAAAAAAACTTGCAACCCATTTCAAGCAGTCTTCAAGCTTTATTGGTACCTTCCAGATATATGCTGGTCTTTATACTGGCAGTTAGTTGCGTCTGAATCGACCAAATTGGTGTGTGGTTTCCTGTGTGATGTGACTGCAGGGCGAAAACGTAAATATATGTAAAATTAAAAGTTCATTACGAAGTCAGTGCGTCCCTGGGGAGCATGTGGGGATGAACAAAGTTAGTGCACATTAAAATGCCTCCATTGGATACTCTACAGTCCCCTTATCATGGCAGTAAGGCTGCATAGTATGAGTTGGGCCACCGACAGGGACAGTCCTGAATTCACTAAACCGAGACAGACTGCAGGGTTTCTTATACATAAGATGCACAGTGGCATACCGCCATTGTCAAATTTAACATCGCCATTGTAAAAATGGTTTCAGGGTGCCTCAAATGCACTCGCAGCTAGGTCCTGCATAGTGCATACCTCCCAAATCCCATTGGTTGATACAAATCACGTGCCTCAATGACGTCACAGTGTTGTCACATTCATGGCACATCCATAATCCATAAACCCAATAAGTCTGAATAGCGGAACGCGTACAGCGCCAGCGTCACGGCTGAAAGGTCTTTGGATCGAATCCCATCTGTTTTTTAATTATTTTTCTATCTTTATCCATTTAACTATATTATCCCAATTAACGCAAATATTTACATGATTTATTTACAACAATTTAATAACAACAAATAATTTTTACAACAATTAATTTTTGTTTTAATTTTTTTAATTAAATTTTAATTAGGGTTAGGGTTAGGGTCACAATGCATCATAAAACAGGAGTTTCAGGCACGTGATTTGTATCAACCAATGGGATTTGGGAGGTATGCAGGCCCTAGCTGCGAGTCTCAAATGCAGTCTAAGATGTTCAAATTTAAAATATTTTCCTGGGGGAGACCCCCCAGAACCCCCCAGCATCCGCCTGCAGCGTTTGCATGCGTGCCCAAGGCACGCCTTTGAATCCATCATGCGTGTTTTTTTTTCAAACTGATCATTACCTCCTTTGTATAATTTTCCCTCAGAAGAAACCCTGGACTGGGTGATTTTTGAGGAAATTGTTCTAGACACGAATTACACTGGGATGAAAAGAGTACCCGCATATGAGGTTGTTGTGTTCAATTGTCTGGTATCTGGAGTGGTCACCAGACAATGTTCTTGTAATGGGATACGTACCTCTAGTGTAAAGTATGGTTTGCAGATGGTAAAAATAGTAGTTGTGTTTAGAAATGTCATGACAAGTTGTTGCATAATGTGTTGGTCAGCGGTAGCCTGTTTGTTGTAGTATGGATGATGGAGATGCGAAACGGTTGCGAGGGAGTTGTTGTACATGTGGGCAGCACATGTCGGTTGTCCGGGCGCGCGCGACGTCCTTTGTTATCTAGAAATGTATAAAGGAGAAGGTTCTTGGTGGTGAGGGAGATCGGACGTGAGTGCGCGAGGCACGCGTCTGCGTGCCTCTGTGCGAGCGCATGTGGGTTGAGAAACAATATACTATTTGCTGAACACAACTGCTTGGAGTTTGGAGTTTCATTATTCATCGCTACAACTAATCTACATTGAACCGGGTAACGTCATCTTCGTCGTTACACTAGTGATTGGTGTGATCGTGTGGATTTCTGCTGGTGAATGTATATTTACCTAGCCTTTATGGATTGTGAAAAATGCTATTTCTTAGGCAAATAAGTATCTGTTTTCAAGGGAGGCCCAACCCAACTGTTGCAAAACGGTCGTGACACTGATAGAATGACCCTATTTGGCACAAACAACTCTAATGTATGTAGTTGACTTAGATACATACATGTGTAAATAGTCTTGGGACAGTCTCAGTAAGTTTGTTAGGAATTTTCCTGTCCAGAGCTTGTTATTGCATGCCAATAATGTACGTGACCAGATTTTGTGTACTTGTGCTCCAAGGCCCTCATGTAGCCTCACTGTTTGTTTTTCAGGGGTATCTTGTTTAGGGCAATGTCTACTGCTGATGCTACGGCAACATAACAAGGACCATTTTATCAACAATTTCTAATCAGATTGTAGATGTAATGGGCTGGAATGCCACATCTCCTGGTGTGCATGCATACGCAGGGGTAGAAATTAACTTTTGAACGCGGGAGTCCAACGTCCGCGGTCTCAAAAAGAGAGTCTGCAGCAAAATGAGGGAGTCTGCAGTCTGAGGTTCACAATTAAAGATATTAACAATAAAGCATGTGCTTATTTTTAAGATTTGTGCGGTTGCACGTCTGCCAAATTTTCTTTGGACATTAGCTGGAAAAATACGGTAATTCCAGTAGGCCGTGCTCCGGAACGAACTAGTTAGTATAGCAGAATTTTCAGGGAGTCACACAGACTCCTGCATATATGTCAAATCAGGGAGTCCGACAGTAAATAAGGGAGTATTTGACTCCGGACTCGCGTTAATTTCGCACCCTGCTATGAAAATACAGTTAAACAGTTCACAAGAGAATTCTGACCAACTTTCATGTAATCAGGGCACGAAATTCAGATTTTTTTGCACCGGCCCAGAGTACAGTTGTAACGTTGAATTAAGAGTTCATGTAGAAATGATGAAGTAGAACTCCAAACTTGTGTCTTGGACTGCATAAACTTTAATATCTGCTCACGTCACATCTCCTTGCACACAGCGACAAAGCAACGCGCACAGGCGCGTAAGCGCGTGCGCTTTCTCCCGCGACCACAACCAGCCTCCTCCACTCCTACATCTCTCTACCTTTCTCAATTTCTCCTAACCTCCTATATATTACCCCCAAACCCTACATCCTGAGCACACATGTCACCCGTTCTCCCAGACCGCGTCCTACCCCCATTTCACAATGACCCTGGAAACGCCGGACCTAAAACACGTTTATCATTCTCCCTATAACATCAATCTAGCCACACAAGATGCGCGACGCTCTGTCTACATAGACTACCACTAAAACAACCCCTAGTCTAGCTCCGCTGACTAATTCATGCAACATTTGTAAAATATATGTTACATTATATCTCCCCCTTCCCCAAGACGATGACTACCCTGTCATCGATTCAGCGTCCCTGCTGATCTACACTTCAACCTAAACCTAAAAAATTCATGAAAGGAAATGAATGAAGCATAAAGCTTTCTATACAAAACAAGTAACGATAAAGTTCGATCACCATACAAGTCAGAAATTCAACACATTTGGCAGTGAACATTTTGATATCGCTGCAATTACTCTCACTCTTGCGTCTTTTTATGCTGTAACGTACGTGGCGTATGCGTATACCATCACGCATTACCGAAACCACGTTTAGCCATGTGCTCCATTACATCCTCATTTAAACCTCTTAATCCCATTATTACACACAGCTCCGATGTGGGCCTGACAACCTTTGTCACTTCCACACATCATACAGCCAAACAAAACGCAAAACTGATTTCATATTTTCGATTAAATGTTTTAGGCCTATCAAACTCTAATTGAAAAAGGTGTTTAGCAGTCTGGCAATATAGCGTAAACGTACCGTTACGACAAATTCAAGAAAACGATCACACATTTCTACACAACGTTTTACACAAAAGATTTTCCCACACAAAGACAAACGGTCACAAGCATCTACCATGAAAAAAATACCGCGTACTGGCGTACATAAAACAAAGAAAAACAGATAAAAATACACATTTGATGTCACCCTTTCACATCGATTTTCGACGGCACGAGATTAAAGCGTTCCACCAATTAACTTCTAGAATTCCCTGGATTTTTTTAGCCATTACAGTTCGCAATATATCTTTCACGTCCTCTGTCTCTGCTCTGTCAGCCTTGCCTTCTCTGTTCTGCTCTCCTCTCTCTCTCTCACATAGGTCGAGACTCGGACTGGCCCTCGCAGCATCACGGATGCAACACCGGCCGGCCCTTCCTTCACTCTGACTTACTCACATAGTTCTCACGCCGTGTGTATCCACCGTTCTCTCTCCCGCGTCTCGCTCTGTGCCTCCCGTCCTGCTCTCCGTCGTTCTTCGTTTCTCCTGCTCTTGCTCCTGTTCCCGTCTCTCTCTCTCTCTCTCTCTCTCTCTCTCTCTCTCTCTCTCTCTCTCTCTCTCTCTCCTCTACTCTCTCTCTCTCTCTCTCTCTCTCTCTCTCTTCCTCCGTCTTTCTTGCTCTCTCGTCCGCTCTCCGTTTCTCTCTCTTCAGTTTTCTTGTCGCGACGGTCTGTCTACATAGACTACCACTAAAACAACCCCTAGTCTAGCTCTTGGTCTACTTACACATCTTGGGGAGAATGTGTGTCGCGTACCAAAAGCACGTCGCTGCGGTTTTTATTTGACCTTTACCTTGACCTTGAACATATTTCCCTTGGAACCGCTCTCTAACTCGTCCCCTAATTGACCTAGCGCTACCAAACTTGGTATACTTACACATCTTGGGGAGAAGGTGCGCAGCGTACCAAAACCAGGTCACTGCGACCTTTATTTGACCTTGATCATATTTCCCTTCTGCTCTATAACTAGGCCCCTAATTGACCTAGCGCTACCAAACTTGGTATACTTACACATCTTGAGGAGAAGGTGCGCAGCGTACCAAAACCAGGTCACTGCGACCTTTATTTGACCTTTACATTGACCTTGATAATAACCTTACTTACACATCTTACCTTTACCTTTACCTTACCTTTACCTTGACCTTGATCATATTTCCCTTCCTCTCTATACTCAGCCCCTAATTGACCTAGCACTACCAAACTTGGTATACTTACACATCTTGGGGCGAATGTGTGTCGCGACTCGCGTATCAAAACCAGGTCATTGCGGCTTTTATTTGACCTTGACTTTGACCTTGACCATATTTCCCTTTTGCTATATAACTCGGCCCCTAATTGACCTAGCGCTACCAAACTTGGTATACTTACACATCTTGGGGAGAAGGTGTGTCGCGTATCAAAACCAGGTCATTGCGGCTTTTATTTGACCTTGACTTTGACCTTGACCATATTTCCCTTTTGCTCTATAACTCGGTCCCTAATTGACCTAGCGCTACCAAACTTGGTATACTTGCACATCTTGGGGAGAAGGTGTGTCGCGTACCGAAACCAGGTCATTGCAACCTTTATTTGACATTGACCTTGACCTTGACCTTGACCTTCATCATATTTCCCTTCCGCTCTATAACACGGCCTCTAATTGACCTAGCGCGACCAAACTTCGTATACTTACACATCTTGGGGAGAACACGGGGGATACATGTAGTTGGCGACAACTGCCCTTTCTAGTTGTTTCAAGGATAATGTAAAATGGTGATTCCTGTATGGAACCTCTTTTACCATATATATAAGGTCTCTTTGATTATATTGTACAACTTGAATCTATGTTTACATGTTAACAAAAATGTTTACATGAAAATGCCCTTTAACCTATTGCCAGTGTGCTCTACATAAACAGTGAACATACATGTGTCAATCGCTCTGGTGGGTCATAGACACGGACTTTTCCCGAATTCCTGTTTAACCATTGAGGTCTTTAATTCTGTGTAATATAAGATAGAGTGATTCTTGCTCGCTATATTAATATAGCCTTATTATATCAAGGTTATGTAAGATAGTGCGTCATAGCAACCAGTCGATGGTTTGACAGAAAACACAAAAGTCATAATTTGAATTTGGTACTTTCATGAGAAACTTCCAAAGTATAGAATTTTTTGTTGATTCACTGTCACAAGTCATATTTTATTCAAACTGAGTCTAATTTTTAGCTCATCTGACATAGTCAGATGCAGCTTGTAGAATCGCTTGATCGTCCGTGCGTCCGTGCGTCCGTCCGTCCGGTCGTCCGGTCGTCCGTCAACAGTTGGGCACAAATCTTAACCGCTCG